CCAACAATTTAAAGTTGTCCGTCTGTACCAGATGACTCGCCCCACGGATGGATCAGTTCCCAGTAATGTGGTCATGGGAGAAGCAATTATGACACTACTTTTGGGCATGACCGGCAACGTTTCACCAAAAACGTAGTGAAGATTTTTTTTGTGCTAACACCGGGATATGCTGCATTGCCAGAACCATTGCAGTTTGTGTACACGATAGTTACCAGTCTAGCGGAGGGACGATTCAACGTGGTCATCCCCGCGCTGAACAGATATGTCGATCCCAACAATTACTATCCACTTCGCTCTGAGCTTCCTGCTGTCTGGGTGAACATAACGAACGCCATCCAAGGGTTTAAAAGCATAGCTAGGTTCCAGTTGTGTGGCTGGGTTTGTCTGGTTTGTCCTCCTCTGGTGTGTCCTCCTCTGCTTCTTTTTGTTGTTTGCTGTTTTCTTCTTCGTTGGTGGTCGTTCGTGCCACCAAGGATCTGAGAGGTTTTCCTCCCTGTCCGATGTCCCTTGCCAGTTGAGTAGTTTTTGTTTTTGTTATTTTTGTTACACCATGTGGTGTTATGCGCAAAGTTTTTACTATCCTGGCAACGTCCGAAGCTAATTTGTAGGGTGTCTTTGCTGGATCTATTCTCATAACCCCTGGTTGACGCTTTAATGTTTGTATCATTCTTTCTACCACCCATATGGCTCTCTGATCGTCTCCCGGTGCAAAAATAACTTAATATGATATGTGTGACAAAAAAGTTGGAATTTTCTGCCGTAAATGTTTGTGCTTGATTACATCTAAGTCGACGGGGTACTCCGTTCTTGGAAATATACCGTTGCATGAATTTTATGGCGACATCCGCTGTAGTATTCAAAACAACTTTCGCTGTCTGAAACTTTGATCATTTGCCTATAGCATCGAGTATGTAAGCGTCCTTATTTAATTCATCGGGAAGGGGCCCGGCAAAATCTAATTGTACTTCTTCATTTGGTTCTACGACCGAACTCATTTGGAATAAATGATTTTTCCCTTTTACTGGTTTAAGGTTTTTACCTTGCTCTGTACAGTGTTTGCAATTTTTCGCCATCTGGATTTTGATCAGTGGATGTGTGGATCGTTTTGACATAAATCCAGCCTGGCGGCCGACTCTGGGTGTGTCAAGTGTAGGCTTTTCACTATTGTTTGACGCAACTGTGTTGGGATAACGATCAAACCAATACTGTCCGTAGGCGGATTTTATCGCGTCCCAAACCCGCTTTTTCACAAAATTGATGAGCGGTCTGAGATGCTTGTCCTTTATGGTAGCTGTGGCAATGAATTTGACCCCCAGGACCTTCTGCAGTCTTTGTCGGAACAGAGGTGTGTCCTCCTCTGCTTCCGTCATTGTTGTCTGGTTTACGGTTGCCACTATCTCTTCTGTGATTTAATGGTGGCTAGCTTCCAGTTGTGTGGCTTTGGGTTGTGTTCTTGTCATAGTGGGCGGTTCTTCTTTCAGGGCAGTTTCCTCCTGGCTTGCGATATCGTAGTTTATACTACTCTCGAACACCTCTTGTGTCTCAGGCCGTTCCTCACTAATGTCTGTTTGAGTTCCCACCAACACTTTAAAGTTGTCCGTTTGTACCGCCTGTGTTGTCTCATTTTGGGGATGCGCTGTTTGGCTGGTTGTGTTTTTTCTTCAGTGAAGGTTATTGTCGGGAAGATTTTGACTGGTGGTGGCCTTGAGGAAAGTATTTCTCTGGCGTCTTTGACGTCTATTTGGATAATTTCCGAGGTTTTGGCTGCTGTTTTCTTCTTCGTTGGTGGTCGTTCGTGCCACCAAGGATCTGAGAGGTTTTCCTCCCTGTCCGATGTCCCTTGCCACTTGAGTAGTTTTTCCTCCTTTCGGCCACGCGTGGGTTTAGTGATAAAGTGGGGTTGAATCAGCCCATTATGCGCGAAGTTCTACGGAAACTGATGAGGTCTGCAGAGTCTGACGTTCTGACCGAGTCAGTCACGGAAGACAGTGCCGACGATTATCAGATCACGAGGAAGCAACTCGTCAAGCGAGCCAAGAAAGTGCTGAAGAGGTTGAAAAGCAGAGTAGGGAGTAAAACAGTGAATCAAAGAGTAATAATGTCAAAGGCGAATGCGGTAGTGGCTTCGTTAGCCAAGGTATCTCGCCCGAATTAGATTGGGTGAGGAGATTGCGCGGCATTCGGTGGGAGAGAAAAAGAAAGTCTGATACCACCCATGTTATTGGCTGGCTTGATCTCAACAACCTCGAAATCGAAGAAGACTGCACGAAACTTGGCATATACCACACTGAAAATGGAAGTCAACAGCCAGTGTGGATCTGGTGGGCTTGATGATTATAAACCCTCGCGGAAGAACATGGCACGGATGAAGCTGGAGGGACAACTCGGCGTGGTCGAGTACAGTCGGATCACAGTACCCGACTCAGTCCACATGGGTGATCCTTCCGGGGTTACGTGGAGATGCTCAAGGTAAGGAACTCAGCGAGAGGGCACTTGATGGCCTGGAGTGAGAAGAAAGCCATGCAAGAATACCTACAACAATTGACGGAAAACTCTAATCTGAAGCGAAAGGAATTTGGCACTGTGATGTCTTCAGCGGCGAACGAAATTGGACTGGAACAGTTGTTAAAAATCTCCAGGATGGCCACCCTCCAGAAATACTTCGAGGAGACCATGTATGCGCCTGCAACGGTGGCGGCGTACCTGGAATACCAATGCGCAAGGACCGACTTGCAAATACGGTTGGCTTGGTGCTTGATGGGAGTTTTTACATCATAGTTCGAGGCCAGTAACGATTCGAGATCGAAGGAGCAGGAACTGATGGAAGCCCTGCGAGTTTTGATCAGCAGAGATGACTCTGCGATAGACTGGGCTAAGCGCAAAGATTCCCTTTGTTTTGCGGGATTCCTGGTGGATTGCATCCCCACTCCTGTACTGGAAGAATGTATAAAAACCACTGGGTAAGGGGGAGTTGATTTCTTCTAAGGAATAAGAATCGCCAACTAGCTAAATTTTATGGAAGAATAAGTATGTCGGACAAAAGTGAAATGGAATTAATTGCGAACTGCCATGGAGTAACGGAAATGAACCTGATTACTGCTTTGGGATTTTACAGCATGACCAGCTCGATGGAGTCATTGGAACGCCTGGAGCGTGCCCATGGGCTGGTTACGTCCTTGAGTGTGGAAGTGTTACCTGGAGCGTTACAGACGGAGCAGAAAATTGGAGGTTGGTGAGAGGCTCTGGAAAACGAGATGAATTTGAAAGATAGTGAGGCTTATCTTCGACCTACTGGCTCAAAATATCTGGTGGGTTTGAGCTCCGCGCCATGTTGTAATAGTAAATATCCTACGCATATGGTGGTTGTCATACCTCAATGTATGAGCGTGATTATGAT